CAGGCCCATGCCCCTGCCTGTCTCTGCTTTGGCTGTGGAGCAAAGGGGCAGGGCCAGCCATGCTCTTCTGGAGCAGAGGGCCCCGCCCCGCCCAGCCCAGCCCAGAGAGCATGCCAGAATGTTGGGGGACTCTGGTTTAACTTAAACCAGGAAAGAGTCGGGGACAGACATTGCATAAAGCAGCTTGAGCTCAGTCAGTTAAGTCTGACACTACTTTCAACCAGGTTTATATCAAACCAGTTTTGGCCATTTTGAAACTGGTTTATGTACACTGAATGCCTGTTAAGGGTTTAAACCAGTTTCGATCACTTAAACCAGTTGATGTGTAATGTCTGTCCCTAGCCTATATGTTCAGAGTTCCAGCAGCTTGTTCCAGCAGCTTGTTTGGATGAACAAAGTATGTTGTTGCTACTTCCTTATTGCCAATCCAGTAAAGATCAGTTGTAATATAGTTTTACAAAATGGATGGCAAATTGATTCAGTGGGACAGTACAAAATAGTACAATGTGTCATAGCTGGAGAAAGATCTCAGAGTCAGTCCTGCACATTGCAGGGTTAAATTAACAAAGAGATTTAGCCATTGCAGTGCTTTGCAAAGTGACACATAGGGCTTCTGTACACATGCAGGGAGCTGGCTCTGATGCACTGGAATTCCAGGGTATTGGAGCAGATTTAATTAATCAAGTCTGCTGGAGCATGGAAATTTGCCTCCAGCATCACTTGTATCAATGTTCCTGTGCTGAAAAAAAGGCAGCAGGGCGCATTAAATGAAAGCTTGTCAAACAAGTTTTAATTCAAAGTGCCTCACCGTCATTTTGCAGCGTGGGGACTCTAATACACATGCTGCTCAAGGTGCTTTTAATTAGCGTGGCTCTCAGAGCTATGCTAATTAAAGCACCCCCCCATGCCTCCTGGAGCACGTGTATAAATGCCTATACTTTTTAGGCGTCCTGACATAGTGGAATCCTCTGCTCTGAACTAGATATATGGGCTCCCCACACAATGTGGAGGGAGAGTTCCAAGGACTAAGAGTGGAGTCCTTGGAAACCAGCAAGTGAAGCCAGTAGGAAGCTTCAGGAGAGTAGGGAAGGCAAAGGAGAGGGCAGGATATCAGCACTGGAGCTTGATTATAAGCCCCACCTTTCAAAAGGTACTCTATGTGTAATCAGAATGGTATATGTGAACTTGACATAAAAAAACATTCTTATAGGGTACATTAAAGGTCAGGATAAATGAATAATTTACTGTAGTACAGAGAGGGTGGGGCTTTCTTTAGCATCAGCTGTTCCCTGGTAACTCCCGTGCGTACACTTTTATGCTGTGACAGATGAAAGCTAACCAATAGTAACTTAGCTTTTAATAAGAGAAAAATTACCAAGGTTTACTTTGTACTTACCACTCTGCTCCCTTTTACCTGAAAATATATTGTCCATATGTTCACACTATTAATCAGGTCCAGTGCTGTTTAAATTAAGAACAGACTTTCAGCAACCTCTGAATGGAGTTATGTTGAACATTGTGTGTGCTGCTGAGACTTTAGGCCTATGTTCTGTGATGCGAGTGTAAAATGAAGGAAAAAAGTATGTTTCATTAAGTTTTTAGCACTTCATCTCTAATTGCTTTTATGCTGCAGTGACATCTGCAGAGGTGCCACGCAGAAGTGCAGATTCAAATGCGGGTTCTTGCAGGTACAATTGAACTGATCACAGCTGTAGCAGATCTTAGCTATGATGTCAGTTTTGGGAGATAAAGTGTATACAATTCAGAGAAGAGGCTGTTGCAAAATCTTTGGTCAGAGTATGTGCTATCCAAGAAGTAACAGAATTTGTATATTCTCCCGAAATACTAAAATCGAACACTTGGTTTAAAGTATCGTGCAGTACTTGACTGTCCCTCAGGTTCACCGTGGTGTCGCTGTTACGTTCCGTGAAATTACATCTAATTTATTCTATTGTGCACTCAAAATTAAAACAGGGTGGAGGTGGGGGGGGGTGGTCTCTCTGCTACACTAGTAGAATGCACCTAACAATTAAGAAAATAAGAGACATGGAACATAATAGTATCTTGCAGTATCTTTCTCAGGTTTAAGTGAACACCATATCTGGGGTACCAGAAGAATTCTCTTCCTTTCCATCACACATCCACTAGTCTGGCAAGGGTTTTCTGGATTTTTTTCCCCAACTTTATCCTTGGCATCTACATCAGACATCACAATACATATTCCACACACACACATTTGTTTCAATTAAAGAGTTATACCTTTTTCTTTCCCAGTGTTCTTGCCAATTTTTTGTATTACTGTATGGCAGTGAGCATTTTTTAAAATAACCTACTGAATTTGTGTTTAGAGGGTCTTTCACACTTTTATCTTCTCCTTGTGAATAAGTCATCTAGATGCCTCTACTACCCTCCCTCCAAATTTTGCTGATATCTTTCTCTAGTGTCTGGGATGAAAGAAGAAGGGAGAGGGTAAGAGAGATGGGATCAGAGACACATTTATACTTCTCTTGACTTCATAGAAGTTGTATGGAAAAGTTAATACAGCCTTAATCTATTCAATTATCCTTTTTTGCCTAGCATCTCATGGATCTGTGATAACCACTGGGGCCTCCCTGGTATCATGGCTCCAGTTTTTACAGTTACTGATATTTCTGTTAGAAAATATCTTACTTTATAGAATACACAATATCAGATTTCTACATAAAGTGTGCAAAATGTTCTAGTTGTCCAAGTAGATAAAAAGAAGGAGAATGAAAGACGGAAATATTGTGCAGTATGGGTAGTGTAATCCAGCCCTCTGCCTCTGAGCCCACTGACTCTAAATGATGACTACTTTTCAATCACTTCCTTGTTTTATTACTTTGTCTGACTGGACTTCATTTTAATGAGGATGCTATTATTAGCAGAGAGAAGGAAAACTTTTGAATTTTCTAGATGGACTTACACTTAGATGATAGGAATTTAACATGGATGATCTGATTCTATAATCTTATTGTAATTATTTTTAGTGGAGTAATATATGGGGTAGAGGGGAACCAGCAGGTTTACAGATTTACAAAATCAGGCCTGATTTTGTAAGCTTATTTGTGCATGTAAATCGTTATGTCAAAGTAGGGATTTACTGAAACCAGTGAACTTCTGCAAAGACCAGATTTTACTTGTCAACTTTCAGATCAGAGAACATTTTACATGTGTTTCGGGAGGCGCAGGGTGGGGTGGTGCTTTAATTAATGAGTGCTTTTAATTAAAAGCACCTGAGTGTCACATGTATCAGCATCCCCCTCCACCCCACACTGAAAAATGGTGGCAGGACACTTTGAACTAAAGCTCATCAAATGATCTTTAGTTCAAAGCACCCCACTGCCATTTTTCAGTGTAGGGCTGCTAATACATGTGACTCCAGGGTGTGCTGCAGCGAATTTATTTCCAGTGCATTGGAGCCGGCTCCCTGCATGTGTATAGGAGCCCAGAGGTTACAGATCCTATGCTATGCCAGCTATTGTAGTGGGGGGCCAATCTTTTTGGCAGGTGTACCACAAAGTAAGTCCTGCACCCCTGTGTACTACTCTGATTCCCTTCCCACATCTGATCTGTTGCTCTGCTTTCTGCTCCCTGGACTGTGCTCCCTACCCAACCTGTTGCTCTGCTTTCTGCTTCCTCTCTCATCTGCTGTGACACATGTAGAGGCTGCCTGTGCTACTTGTGGCACACATGCCAATGGGTTGCCGCACCCCGAATTACTAAATTGATCGGAATGTTCCCATTGTCTTCATTTGGAACAGATTTTGAGTAGACCTACTAAAGTCACATTAAGTAAAATGACTTATTTGTATTTTTACATGACTAGTACCTTTGTGTATAACTCAATAGGTTGTTGTTGGAATGAAAATTGATCATATAAGTGCATAATTAATGCGTTTTTTGTTCTTGTTTAGCCACAAACAGAAAACAATGAGAATTTGAGATCTTCAAACTAAGCATTATAAAATGTTCACTTATTTCCCTTCGGCAAGATGCAATGAAAAGATGGGGGGGGGAGCGCTGGCAAAATTTACAGGAATGCTGGAAATTTCTGTAAAATGTTGGTATTGTAATTCTTTAAAATCCCAACTTATTTGCATGTGGATTGAAAGTAAAAAGCATCTATCCTATTTTATGCACACTGACTGAATAAAACTGAATATTATATTTAGTATAAAGCATTATTAAAAAAGAATTCTGCCTGGCTTTGGTATTCATGTTATTTATTCCACTGCATTAAAATATTATGTTAAGAATAAAGAAGAGAACATTAACTTTTTTCAAGAGATGACCCCTAGTTAAAATATGACATTTTGAATATAAAACACTACTAAGTGCTTAGTGGAGACCTTTGGCTGCATACATGTCTCTGCATGTACATTTAAATATCCTAGGCAGTCTTTACCACTATATCTTTTTGCTTTGATGGATGTGCATAAAAGACTCAATCCTGCAAACATTTAAGAGTATGTGTAACTTTACACACTTAAGTACTGTCATTGAAATCAAAAGATACATGTGCAGGGTTGCAGAAGTGCTTAACTGTTTGTAAGATTAGTACCTATGTCCTTAAGGGTTATAATTATATTTATTATATTTGCTTAACTTATTTGTTTTAATTCTGCAACCAGATATAGTTATGTTTTCAATTAAAGCAAATAGGAGGCTTAGAACAAAATTGAAAATCAGTCTTGTGTGGCTCAGAAATTATCTTAAAATTTTTAAGGATAGCATGAAATCCATTTTATTGTCTAAAATGAGCATTTTTGTTAATTAATAATCATTGAGAATTTTTTTTCCTGATCTGTTAATTCCTTTCTAATTAGAATTTTCCACTGTGGGTGTATGTTTGTTTATTTGTGGCCTTATCTGTTTCACACACCCAGCACTGTTAAAAGTAAGAACTAGATACATGATATCATAACTGTGTTTAACAGTCAGTAGAATTCCTAATTCCTTTGGTCCTTTATGTTGAACAGTTCGGGCCGTGGTACTTGCCTTGATAATGAGCCTCCCAAGCGTGACTTTCTTTATCCAGCTGTGGCCCCAGGTCAGGTGTACGATGCTGATGAACAGTGTCGCTTCCAGTATGGAGCAACATCCCGCCAATGTAAATATGGGGTAAGAAGTCTTAATCCTTTTGCTGAGTGTTCTCCTTAGTTATTTGTATATATTCCTTCATTACCTAAATCATTAGTTAGATGCAGTAGTGCATTAGTTTTCCTGTAGTAATTTTTGCAGTGCTGCCAGTGTAAATGAAGGACTAAATTTTAATCCTTATGCTGCATCTTTTGCTTGAGTCATTTGTGTACACTGTATTCCCAAACATTTGGGTAATGAGCTGGACAAGTGTCCCTTAAACAAAGCAAGTAAAATAGCTCATGAGACTCAATCCTGTTCACTTTTAAGTCTGTTGACAGACTCCCACTGACTTTAGGGGGAGTAGCATCAGACCCATCATGTATTATATTGTGAAATATGAAATTTGTGGTACTGGTTCTCATTTTTTCAATTTTTGCAGTGATTTTGTTCTTGTTTTGCTTGCCAAATTTGTTTTATTTTACTTTTGCTGACATTCTGGTTGTTTCACACATTGTTCAAGTCTCTGTTAAAAATAATAATTGGGTAGGCTTTTAGGGGAATGTGAAAATAAATAGTTGAAAAGGACACAAAAATGTATGCTGTTACAAGCAGCTGTGTGCAAAATTAAAACAATTTATAGTAGAAATATCAGTAAGCACACTAATATTTTATTCAGTTTTTTAAATGTATTTTTAGATATTGCGTGAAGGAAAATCTTCTAGTCTAAAATATCTATTAATAAAAATAAATTTTTCAGTGCTAGTCACTGGATAGACAAGTTTAATAGCCGAGATTAAATCAAAACAAAGCTAAAATTATTTTGTAACAGTTTACAATAGCATTATTTTATTGCATCCTTTAGAAATTATTAAAGAAAATTAAAATGTTTAGTAAGTCAAATAGAACAGTATAATAATTGAGCTGCACTAATCACTTCTCTCAGGGCAGAAGTACAAAGAGGTTCATTTTTAATATCCCTTGGGTGATAACTACAATATTATTCTTGGGATGACTGTTTGGCAGATCCTGTAGTGCAAAGGATTTAAAAGTTTTGTGTAATTGGCTGGCTAGCTGGCTGGGTCTCCTATTCCTTCTTTGGCCTTTATTGTTTCTCTTTAAACTCTTATTTCTGACCCCCTCTGCTTTTCAGAGCCCTGTTTTCTTTTCCTACATCTAAGGCACACTCTTTTAAAAAAAAAAATCTTTCAAATTCCCACCATATACTTTCAGAATCAGAAAATTTGCAAGTGTTTAATTCATTATATGGAGTGTGCTTTTTAAAATCTTTTTGTTTTAGATTCCTATCTCACACACTCAATTTCAGAATTAGAAATTTTTCAGGTGTTTAGTCCATCATTTGAAGCATGCCCTTTTAAGATATCCTGCATTTTAAATCAGACTGGAAAGTTAATAATATGCAAAACCTGGCTACTGTATATGTATATTATTTTTTCATAGTCTGCTAAACCATATTATTACTGTTGTGATGAGCATGCTGTAGAGTAGTATGCTGTTCTTTAACCAAGATCTTTGCCTAAAATATGAGAACAATAAGAAGTTAGAAAGATTTATGTGATTCGATTTATTCCTTTTGCTTTCTCCCCCCTCCCTTTTCATGCATTATGTTAGGAAAGACTTCTAGGCCAGGTACAGACATTATACTTTTACCAGTACAAGTGATGAGAAACTGGTCTATACCCATAACAGAAGGTCAGCACACAAAACCAGTCTATACTCATAGCAGAACAGAAATTTGGCGCACACAGACTGATTTAAAAATGGTGCAACCTGGGCTCAGTTGTCCCCCTGCTCCCCCCAGCCAAAGGGCAAATGTGTGTTCTGTTTATTACTAATCTAAAATGCTGCTTACAGAAAACTGTGTAACTTAGATTGATTCTGTCTCCGGCTTTTTGAATGTCAGTATCTACCCTATGCTGCTCTGTAACAGAGCCAGAAAACTTAGAAGAAATAAACATTTAAAAGAAACCAGCAATTCTAGTGGAGGATCACCAATGCTGTACACTGATGTGATATTTTATATCATATCAGCAAGAAAAGTAACATATCTGAAAAATAGCTCAAGAAAAAAAGAATATCTTCCACGTGCATTTGATAGCGCAGACTGAAAGTATTTAATGTGAGCAAAACTGAATCCTTATTCAGACTGCATCAAAATGCTAAGTAGGGCTAAGATGAGTATTTACATATATTTTAAAACATAAATGGGCATAAACATAAACATACAATGCTCTCAGTGTTTTGTACGTCTCAATTGGATTTAATTTTCACAATAAATAGTGTGTTCATCTTGCTTCAGCTAATAAATATACAAATATGCACAAATAGACAAAATAAAACCTACCCACAGCAGACATAATAATAAAATCCTTCCAATTGTTAGGCTTCTCCTCATCCAAATGCCTAGAAGAAAAGATGGGTACTGCAGTGTTTCCATTGTATTAAGAAATTTGGGGTCTGGTAAAAAAAGAGAAAAGTGAATTTTAAAGTAAAAGAAATCTCCCAGAAATGTATCTGTAAGTGGGCACCTCTCTCTATCCTCAGTGTCTTCACTGATTTGTGACTATACCTTACAGTCCACATACCTCCTTATACATTATAGTCAACCTCTCAGATTGTACTGTCTCAAATTATTTTAGGTTGATTAGGCTAAGTTCACTTCCCTGAATTACTGCTAGAAACTTATTGAAATAAAAGTGAACTATGAAAGCCTGTGGAATACGTTCTGCTATCATTTACACCTGTACAGTTCCCACTCTCCAAAGAAATTTAAACATTTTATTTAAGGGAATTCCATAAGAAGAAGCAGAATTTATACCATAGTTAAAAATTAAATGCATATGACTGTGTCAATCACTGTGGGCCACAATCTCTTCATTAGTCCTAGAATAATTTCAGACAGTACTAGAGCTCAAATGACACCTTCCAATAGAGAAAGTCACGGGAAGAAGAAAGGCAAGAAAACTTAGATCCTTTCTCAAATGTTCCTGTAGTATCTAGTGTGATAGATGGTTTAGAGCTATTTTATATATTTAGGTTGGAGTTTTCAAAGTAGTCTAAGAAATTTAAATGATTGATTGCAGCTGATTTAGGTGTCTAGCTGCTTTTTGGGCTTTTGAAATTTTCAGCCTTCTGCCTTATTTAGTTTTAGAAGAAACTGATTGAATGAAGACCAGCTAAATGTGGTCCTAGTTCTCCTGTGCCCATCACTGTTTCCTTCCCTCATTTCCCTTTCTTTTCCCTGTATTCAGTGTATAATGCAGTAGGACCTTAACTCTGTTATTTCACCTACAAACAGCCTGGCTGCAGTATGAACCCTCTGTTATTTTTACAGACAGCATAGCTCCAGCAGGAACCTCACTGCCATTAGCTGCTTTCATATAGATGTTCAGTTAGAATAGGAAGCACAAGTGTAAACTAGCTCAGCTTTGGCCTCCCTCTGCTCCAATTGAAGCTAATGGTAAAAATCCTACAGATTTAGACCAACACTGAGCACTTTTAAAACTCCCTGCCCAGGGACCTAATGTTACTTTATAGGACATTCATTCTTTCCTGGATACCTGCTGGTGTATCCTTCTCATCATAAGTGGTCACTGACCCCTTAGCTCTTTCTCGAGGTGAATGCTGATGGAGGGACTATCACAGGGTGCTAAGGGAGAGAAGACCATGAGGTTATAAAAGAGTTATTCCAGTTTTACACCTCTGTGAAGAAAACTTTTCGTAATGTGCTCAAGACTTTCTGAAATGAGTTCAATATCTTTTATTAGACCAACTCAAATCAAACTCTAATAAAAGAAATCGGATTTACCCGAAGAACCTTGTCTGTCTATGTCCTTACACCAACACAGCTACAACCTACACCCCTGAAATTAGTCCAGGCCTTTAAGGCACTATCTGTTTTTGGGTGAAGTGCAGAATGGGAACTTGATGGAGTGTTATGGCACAACACATATTTGAGTTCTCTAGTGTTCAAAAAGCTCCAGAATTTAATTTTAATTGCCACCTTTTGAGATGATAGAGTGAACATTCTCTTCTGTGGTCCATCAGCCATGGCCCCATTTTCCTTCACTATCTTTAGGAGCAATTGTTACTGTGAAATTTTGCTCTGGAAGATACGTGTGAACCTTGTACTCAGGTGAATGCCAGGAGAATATTCATTATTTGCTCCTTGGATGAGGGTCATAAAGCTTGGTGTGTGGGGGTGGGGAGCTCTTCGTATTATCTCCCCAACCACTTGAACTTCTGCATAGGAACTAGTTATAGTTTGACTCTGGGTTAATTAAAAAATAATCTCAGTCTTTACTGTGAGTTTCCTTGTTTTATTAGTTGAAGAAGATGCAAGTCTGTAACTTGTGGGTTTTGTGTCTAAAAGTAATGTGTAGTGTTATTGCTAGTTTGCATCAAATCATATATCCGGTCCACACACTTTTAGGGCAGAAGCTAAAACCTCAGCCTTTTAGTTATAGTGATTAATACTTCATGTATACGGTTGACTTGCTGTGGTGCATTTTATTATCTGTGAATCTGTTGACTGTGGGCTCAGAGATAGTGCCTTAACATTCATTAAATATACTCGGTTTATTTCTTCGTTGCTCCACCTTTAATAAAATACAGCCAAATACATATGAAGCTGAACTCAGCTCATGGCTTCATGTGAACAAATTATCAGGAGTATCTATGCACATGCGATGGTGCATGTGACCCATATCAGGTGATGTAATTTAGCTGATAATTGGAAACTCTTATGTTTGTACTTGAGCCCTCTAGTCAGTAAGCTAAGATATCATAAAACTTGTTGGCGGGGTGTGTGTATATATAGGTGCCTTGCTATCAGGGTTTGGGTTTGGTTTTTTTTTGACATTTTGTGTGTAAAATACATTGCCTGAAGACAGATTGTATAAGCACACATTCTCAGACCAGGTATAAAAGAAAGGAGGCTACATGGCTTATCTGCATTTTAGAAACCTCTTGCAACTGGTCACAGTATATACTATCAGATATTCTAATTTTAAAAAATCCCA